ATTTTTAGTCCCGGTCCCGGTCCCGGTCCCGCAAAAAAGTCAAATTTTGGTCCCGGTCCCGGTCCCGGTCCCGCCGGGACCGGGACCGGGACCGGGACCGGGACCACTTTGCAGTTCCCTATCAGCAAAGTCAAAGACATGTACATGCGGTAAATAAGATAAAATTGGCTTTAGCCATGTGCCAGAATATGACAAAGACTGATTTGCCGAAATGTGTAACACTTTAATCTGGCGAAAATAGTTTTTGATAAATTGTTCGATGCCAACATTTGTTAGACTGTCTCCTGTGACACAAACATGTGTTAAATTATTTAATACCGTTAAAAATATTAGTGCTGCTTGTGGATAAGGTCTATGTTGGTATTCGATGGATAAACGACGAATATGAGGAACATATGATAAAATAGCCTCAACTTCATTCAGATTATAGTTATCATTAATAATAAGATGTTCAATAGAACTTGATGGACTCTTAGACATAGGCAAATATTCTAATGGAACATTCTCTTCGAAAGATATTTTGCAATGTTTTAATATTGATAAATGAAATATCAGATTGTAAATAGTAATTTTATTTGAATCACGACCAACATGAATAGATAATGAAGAAAGATTGTTCAAAGAAGTTAAACCGATAAGAAGATTTTCTAGACTTTGTGAATCAATTTCATTTAAAACAAGTGTTTGAAGTTGAGAACATTTTGTAATATCTGCTGTTGATGAAGAAAAGAAATCGATAGTGAAAGGATCTGATAAATGAAGTGATTGAATTCGATGTTTATTACGTTGAATGAAATCAATATAATAACGGTGAAATTTCGATTTAGATATAAGTGAAATATTGATGTGAATAGGAAAGGTTGAATCGATAAGAATATTTTGAAATCGTGTATTAAGATTGAAAAAACCTTCGTAAACATGACAAGTATCGAGATAATCAAAAATTTCATAGATGAGTTCATTTGCAAGATCTTCTAATTGCATGACCGAGTTCCTTAAGTTTAATGGAACATACTAATGGCAATAAATCTGAATACATCTTACTAACTTGTCCGTATTGATTGGTGTTACTAAACAAGACGAAGTACGTTGTAATTTTTTCGTCGAACAACCATCTGTTGAAGAGTTTCGTTGTCTTTTTCTTTCGTTCATACTTAAATTAATATAATACTTAGATCGGAAAAAAAGACACTTTTATACTTTAAAAGAGACGAGAGGTTCAGATGCTTGTGAAATTACATTTTATCATTTCTGTTATTTGTAAAAACGAAGAGAACAAAATACAGAAGATAACATATCTTAAGACTTACACAGATTTTATGTTGATTAAATGGGCTATTTAGAATATTTAAACATGATCATTGGAAAAGAACAAAGTAATTAACCGATAATAATAATTTAACTTTGTATTCTATCATTTAAATGTTTCTTTGCAAAAGTAAACAAGATATTCATGAATTCTTTCAGTCGAAACTGATTAATACAAATGTATACATATGATCGAATTCAAAAAAGGAAGAGAAACCGGAAAGCTAAATATCTTCATTTAACATTTTTAATTCCAAGGAAACTTCGTAAAGATTATAATTTTGGTCATGAATTATAAATCCAAATGAACATTGATTAAACTGCAATAGAATGCAAGAGTATTCAAACCGATATGACTATATAATAAGCTATATAAAACGTGAAAAAGATTGACCCGTCGCTTTTCAATATTCAGATGTAGCAAAGTTTTCCATCACTTCTAAGAATTTGGCACTACCGTACTGAACTAGAACTGTCGATATGATTCCATAAGATACATTTAAGCTTTGAATGTTACAATTGTAGACACTCAAATCCTGTGAAAATTCATAAAACTTTGCAATTTTTCTCAAAAGAAAGCTGCTGCGGTGGACATTTCTAATTTGTAGCATTATTCATGTGCCTATTTATTTTTTGATTTCTATCAGTGTACATTCGAGTTTTTCCTTTAGCTCAAAACCGTATCTTGTTCCTGAACGCTTAAACCATATCATTACATTGATGGGCAGGATCGTACTTTTACATATCTAGTAGAAATGCGTTTGCAACTCTTCCGTAGGTCGACAATATCTGAACCTAATATATATTATGCCAGACATGCTTTTTTTCGTCCGAAACTTAGTATAATGAACACAAATACCTTCACTGTGTTCATGTAGCATAAATTGAAAGAAAATAACATATTATCTTTGGCTAATATAATATCATCTTTAAATGCATTTTAAAAAAATCAATTTCAAGTGTAAAATTTGCTCGATCACTATGATTTGGAAAAGTTGCTTGCATCATATTGATAGCACTTATGCCATCTATACAAAAACACATGTAGTTTACTTTATTTGAAATTAATCAACATGGAAAAATCCCATAAGCATATGTGAAAGTTAGAATCGAATATGTTGGCATATCAATAAAGCATGATGATGTCAAATTATAAGTACTTTTATTAGTTCGTGAAAATAAACATTGAACAATGGTATTAAGAGATTTTATAGATGCCGAAATGCTGAGATGTTGTAATAGAGGATAAAAATTAATCAATAACCTAATTAGCTTTTAATGCATAATCACCTATAAGATTGATATTTACTATTTGATTTTGATTTGATAGCAAACGAAAAGTTTCACTTGTTTGTTTCGGTGAAATGTTTCATGTCATCAATCTCAAAGATATCAATGTCAACATAGAAGTATTAGTGGCGAAACACAACATTTCAACTGAGTGGTCGAATTTCATATAATTAGTACTGGTGGTTATTTCAGTAAACTGTGATGTCAGAATCATGCCATGAAAATCATCAACTACGAATCGGTTACTAAGATTAAAACTACATTCGTGAAAAGTCAGCTTAGTAGCATTTGGACAATATTTTGAGCAGCTGTGTATGACCATTTCATCATTAATGATGACATAATGAACTGAATCAAGATTAACTTTTTCATGAGACGTGTTCTTGTCTAAATTTGGATTGCTAGATAATTTAAAATTTTTTCTGCTTCAAAAGAAAACAAAATCAAATGAATAACTAATACTCAACTAAGATCAGTCATTTTTACCTATATGGTTGAATTGAACAATATGTTCAATGGAAATTTTTGTATTGGTAGAAATAGGCAATAGCTTTAGTGGATTACTTTCTTGAAATCATATTTCACAATAATTTAGCACGAGTAACTGAAATATCAGGTTATAAATATTCATTTTATTTGAATCATAACTAATACGAATAGTCAACAGGATAATTTGGAAACATCTTCTTTTTATGAAGAAAAAAAATCGATAATAAATGGATTCGATAAATAAAGCGATTGAATTCGATATTTATTAAAAGCAGAATAAAATTGATATAGTAACACTGAAGCTTTGACTTGAATTGGAATATTTTAAATGCATACAAAGATTTCGAAACCATGTGATAAAATTAAAAAAGCTTTCGGAGATATGATAAGGATCAAGATAATCGAAAATTTTATAAATAGTTTCCTTTAAGCGATCTCCAAAATTAGATAAAATCTTAGAAAAATTTGTGCAACGTTGTAAAGATGAAGATTTTTGATACAATTTCAATCTGGTCTTAGACGACCATACAAGAGCAGATGCATAACCTTATATTATCTTAGCATTTGATTGATGAACCTGGATAAGTGTTGATCATTATCTTGTTATTCGACTGTTTCAGACAAAAGCAAAACTGTGAATTTCATTTTTAATTATGTTGATTTCTTTCATGATATTCACCCTCTTTCTTTTCTGCTGATGAGAAAAATGTTCCTACTCCTTCTTGCTTACATATCTCTTTTATTAAAACCACGTCATCATATACATCCAATCGATTACAAAGATTATTACTAAAAGTAAAATAAAACCTAAAACCAGCAAAAGTGAACAGAATAATTTTTCGTTAAATTAATCGAGACATAATAAAAATAAAAAATAAAAATTATATACTTCTTCTTTCCTCATATTCTCTCTTACTTAAAACTTATTCTCATTTATTGTTGATCATCTGCCTTTTTCACTTAATTACTTTGACAAAACAAAAAATCAACGCTTAAACTTACATATAGATACTACACTCATAATACTTTCTTTGCTATGCTGATCAGCCTACAATGCCACAGTGTTGTGACTGGTAAGGTTTTTCTTTATCGGTACCAGTCTAAATCTGTTGAATCAGATCGATCGGTAGACCTACATGAGTCACAGTAAGAGTCACATCAACATCCTAATTAGTCGTATTTATATCTGAAATATAAATTAATTCAATAAATTTTCTGCTTCATCATCATAGAGCTGTGTATGAAGTCTGATTCTCAACGCATTGAAGTGTGTGGCAAGAAAATTCATAACATTTTCCTAATGAGATTTCTACGAGGCAGAAAAGCAAAAGTTTCGTATTGCAGGATACCTAGAGAGATTAAGACAAAGGTATCTTCCGTAATTTCTTACTTATATAGATTCTATTATTAGCCTGCGCCAATTACACATTAATTCGAGTGCAATTTATGTAATTTTATCCGACAAGAAAGCTTAAATACTTTATTGTACTTCACTCTTGTTCAAATTTTGAAATACGATGAAGTGTCTGGCCCTTACTAACATTTATAGTAGAATTCAAACAACTAAGAAAATGTAGAGAATGGTTCAGACATTTCATTAAAGTATACGAAAGTAAAAGAAAAGTTCCGAGTTTCCGCTTCTTTTCTCTTGCGTTCCCTAAATTGTTAAAAGAGCTTCATTGTGTTTAATGTGTTAATCTCATAGGAATTATGTTGCAAACATTTTTGTCAATATCTATTTCTATAAGTTTTCTTTGTTTTGGCAGCTATCGATAGATATAAAATTCATAAAACTACAACTTATATATTAGTTTCGCACCCTAATGAAATGTTCATCAGACAGAAATTTGGAACTAACGAGGGAACATATCTGAGTGTCCTCCATACGAATGAGTTCAAAATCATTCTATGTGTTAGAGACCTCGATGAATATCGTGAATATCAATATATTAGCTGCCCTCATTGAAGTCTCGAAAAATTAGAATATCAAACTTTTTCCTTTTTTTTGTTAAATTTACCAGAACAAGCGAAAGAGGACATGATGCATTTAGTAGTAAGAAAGAGCATTAAAGTGAAAAACTTTGATACTCGAAATATTCATTGAGATTCCTAACACATAGAATGCTTATGAATTCATTCTCAGGGAGGAAACTCAAACATGTTCCCTCATAAGTGTAGAGGTACTGTGTGTGTTCTAATAGATTAAATTTGCTGAGTCCTTGTCCTCTGCGAAAGATATGCTATAAATAATACAAAATGAAAATAAAAATGTAATAAATAAGAATGAGGACTGGGATACAAATTATTTAATATATCGATGTTTAACTCTCACAAGTTAGTGGATATTTTGGAACACTTGCTTATCATCAATCGGTTTTTCATTCGGTGGCTTTTTATACACTAATACAATAGGGAGATTCGGTGGGTAGACTAATTTTCGTCCGATGCTGTGTCATCCATCTTGATACATAACCCGAAGAGGGATTTTAGATTCACAGTGAAAGAGTATTTATAAATTCTTTCCTATTCTGTTCGTATATAGTGCCGATTAACTTATTATCAGAATTAGTTAAATATGATTCTAGTATGTGAAATAGCTCGTTTTCCATCAAAACCATATATAACAACGAAATTATAAAATTGAATGCGACTATTAAAGAAGAGACGAATCGATGATTAATGTTCAATATATTGTAATCTGGATCTCATAGTCCATGAGTACGTCGTTTCCTTCTTGCTCACATTCACACCCTAACGATTAATATCTTTCTGTCATATTTGTCTCTCTTATTGAATGAGCTATATCGATTTTACTACTATAATTAAATAAACATTTTAAGTTTCTTATCATGTTTCTGATATAGAAGATTCAGTTTCAAATACGATATATATCTTTA